CTTATCAGTACTTTTTGAACTTATATCTTATAGATTATGACTTATAGCTGAAAAGTAAGCTAACTTATATGATAAAAGTGTTTGGTAAAATTAGCTGATAAGTTGATTGGAATAAAAAATTCAACTAGCTTATTTCAGAAACTATCTAAATAAGTTTATCAAATAAATCTATTTTTTTTAAAAAAAACTCGTCATACCAAAAGAGACTTATTTAAATACTGATAGCTTATAAGTTATAACCAAATAAGATATAAACTAGTTTATTTGTTTATAGCTATTTTGTCAAATTTCATCTCTAACATTTATATTTTTGTACTAGCACCCTTTAAATTATCTTCAAACTTCACATTGGCACTATCTCTTAAAAGAAAATTCTCTCTCCACGATCAGCTTCAACACCATAGTTCGATTTCTTAATCCACCAAAAAAGTATAAAAAAAAAAATGATCCTTATTATTTTTCTCTCAACTCTACTAATCCCACCACTCTTATTATACGTTCTCCACGCAAGCAGGAGGCCGACAAAGAGCCTCGACCCGCCAGGCCCGCCGGGCCTCCCTCTAATCGGCAACATGCACCAACTAGCCGCCGCGAAAACCCCGCACGTCTATCTATGGCGCCTCTCCAAGAAATACGGGCCGATCGTGCGCATGAATCTCGGCCCGAAACCCCTGATCGTAGTTTCCTCCGCGAAGCTCGCGGAGAAAGTCATGAAGACCCAAGACCTGGCCTTCTGCAGCCGGCCCGAGTCCCTCGGCCGGCAGAGGCTCTCGTACAACTGCTCGGACATCGCCTTTTCCCCGTACAACGACTACTGGCGTGAGGTCCGGAAAATCACGACCGTCCATCTGTTTAACATCAACAAGGCTCTCTCTTTCCGGCCCGTAAGGGAAGACGAGATCTCGCGCGCGGTTTGTGAGATATCGGGCTTTGCGGCCCGTAATCAGGTTCTCAACATGAGCGAGACTGTCATGGCGCTCGGTGCAACCTTGACGTGTAGGATTGCTTTCGGAAAACGGTACAGCGGAGATGGGAACGATATGAGGAGGTTCGATGAACTTATGAAACGGATCCAGGGCTTGTTGGCCGGTTTCTTCGTGTCGGATTATTTTCTGAGACTCGGGTGGGTGGACAGGTTGTGTGGGTCGATCGGGCGGCTCGAAAGGACGTTTGAGGACTTGGATTCGTTCTACCAAGAGCTTATCGACGAGCATCTGGACCCGAACAAGCCCGAAACCATGGCGGGTGATATTCTTGATACATTGATCCAGCTTAAGCAAAACAGGTCAACTTCTGTTGATCTCAGCTGGGATAACATCAAGGCGCTGTTATTGGTACGCATTTTTTTATTTTATTTTATTTTATTGTCATATTAATGATAATTTTCAAAGTTTCGGTATATGCATTTAATGGTGGTAGTTGAATTGTGTATGCATTTTGGATTTTGTATTAATGGTCTTATGGGTGGCGTCACTACTATAGCTTGTTTGTGGTCCTAGATTTGGTTTTAGACATATCTACAGCTACAGGGCCAGATCTCCGGGTCACCGTGTTACTAGTTCAACCGTCAGATCATTGGGTCAATTGCTGAGTCGGATAATTAATTTTAAAACATTTTAAATTATATATAGAGTATTTTTGTCATATAAATTTATATAAAAGTAACAAAATTAAATGTTTTGTGTATAAAATTTGTACATTAAAATGTTAATAATATGAATCTCATGATAAATATTTACCATATTAACATACATACATAGTTTTATTTTCAAAATTATATATATATTTAGTCGAGCAAAGGTGTAATTGACTCGACGTCAAGGAAAGGAGAGGAAGGTGGCACAGTTAAGTTACTCAAGAGAATAAGCCCTAAACTTCGTTTTGTGAAATCATCGCCTTCCACTCCTTCTTTTCCCTTTGTCTCAACATGGGTCGGGGCTGGGTCAATGCCCCGGGTCGGCCAGGTTGATTGGGTTTGACCGAGTCTTTTGTTAGCCGGTTCAAATAGCCCACTCGAATCGGTTTCGGCTCCGCGTCGAATGGGTCCCGAGTCGACCCGCCGGGCCAATCCGGGAAAACTATGGTTTTAGATAATAAACTATTAAATCATTGATTAATTTCTTTGATTGCCATTAACGAAAATAAATAATAAGATGGAACAATTACAAGATTGTCTTAGTTGGTTTTTTGCTATCGATTATACTAACATCAATTCAATTGTTCTCACGATTTATAGGACTTGCGCAATTAACAATGCTAGTATTTATAATATTAAATATGAAAATTACTTAGCATTGTTATTTTTTATTTTTAATTTTTTTTTTAAGAAACAATAGAGATTTTATAAAAACAAAGGCACAAACGTACAAAGATACAACCCGATGTTGAATAAACCGACCCCAAACTGAGTAAAATGGGAGGCCAGGTCTGCGACCGCCTAGAAACCCGACACTAACAACGCTAGAAAACCGAAAAAAACCTCACGAAGCAACAAAACCAAAAAACACAAAACTAAAACGAAATGCTCCTCACAGGAGAATAGAGACGAGAGTTGCTCCCCACAGAAAATAAAGTTGCTCCCTCTCACACTGAGGCCAACGACACAAAAAAAAAAAAGAACACAAACACTCAGGAAAAGAGCTCAAACCTAAAACACATTCCTAGCACACAAGAAAGCACAAAAGACAACTAAAAATATACACTAGCTATCCCTCTACAACAACTCCAACCTTACTAGCAGCCACAAAGTCCCCAGGGGAATCCCACGGCTTGAGAAAAACGACCCCTCCACTGCCAAACCGCCTAGCTGAATCTCAATTCAAACCGCGAAGCCCACCTAAGGCCAACTCTCCCCCACGCCAGAAAACACCAAGAAAACTCCCAACACAGCCAGACCGAGTTCCCTAACACTACTAGCGGGCTCTGAAGAGCCGTGAACAACCCGAAATCCAAACCCGGAGAACCGGGGAATATGAGCTCTCTCGACGCCGCAGCCCCAGCCCCACCGACCCTAATTGGCATCTGAGCAACTCAAGAGCCCAACCTCCGAACCACAGAGCACCACCATACGCAGGCAAAAGAATACCGAGACAGGAGCGGCTAGAAAGAAGACTTACCCTCAATCGAGACCGTCGAGCCCGAAATCCGACCAGTCTTCAACCGAGAGCTCGCCACCTTCAATCACCAATCTACCGGCAAAAAGGAACGCTGTAACCCGATAGCCCCAGCACCCCGCTGTGACCGGAAAGCGAATACAACCATCTAAGCGGACAAGAAAGAAGAGCGGCCCGCCAGAGAGCCCGAGACACTCCGATTAGAGAAGGTGAACCAGTTAGTGCTGCACCCAACCCCAGCCCAAGGCACCGCGACCCTTGATCCCTCCACCGCGCTGGAGATGCCAACAATCGCGAAACCGAAACCGTCGGCACTTGTGGCGAGCAGAGTCGCGGCAACTGGGAAGGATCGGGCAGCGAGAGGACGACGACCAATACGGCGGAAAGCAGAGAGAGAGAGAGGCAACGATTAATCGATTTTGCGACGAGGGCGAAAAAGAGCGAAGAGATAGAAATTAGGCTAGAGAGGCAACAATACTTAGCATTGTTATTGCCATTAAAGATATTACCAATATTTTAAATACCGTACCGGTTGTCATACCGGTCTAGCCACCGGTACGCGGTATTACCGGTCGGACCGGTAATATCGGTGGTATTATCGAATTAGCAAATATAATGATAAATATAAATATACATAAAAATATATAATACCAAATGAAAATAATAATAATAATAATAAATGACTATAATCATTGTTGAAAATCATGGTGTTTGTAAACTGAAAAAGTAAGAAGCTATCATCCATTTCTTGCTAATCATCAATGGCGGCTATGTTTCAATAATATTCATTACAAAACCCTAGATCCCAAAATGGGTATTTAAACAAGAGAAAAGAATCATCTAGATCATGGACACTTGTTACAATCTGAATGAGTAAGCTAAAAGAAAGATGCTCATCTAAGGGTGCAAAATGTAGCTAAACCATTGCAGTCTATTGGAGGCTTTGTTGACAGCTCATGCATCGTGCCAAAATGCTTGCAGCATGCAGAACTCGTGGGACCAGCAGGTAAGGTGACTGCATTAGTTTCATGCAGTAAATTTTGTTCTCTTGACTGTGGTAAATCCTCATTAACTTGAGGTGTATTTCCTGATAATTCTAACACTCCCCCGCAATTCGAACTCGGTTGAGCCAACACATGCAGTTTACTTCTCAACTTAGTGAAGGATTGCTCACTTAAAGGCTTAGTGAAAATGTCTGCAATTTGGAACTGAGTAGGAACATGCCTTACTTCTATATCTTTAGCTGCAACCTTTTCCCTCACAAAATGATAGTCCAACTCAACATGCTTTGTTCTTCCATGCATCACAGGATTGGCTGCCATGGCAATGGCACTAAGGTTATCAATCCAAATGATTGGAATCTGTCTTGGAGTCAAGGTAAGTTCTTTGAACAGGCTGATCATCCACATTATTTTAGAGGTGACATGTGCCAAACTCTTGTATTCAGCTTCAGCACTTGATCTGGACACAGAAGCTTGTTTTATAGAACTCCAAGAAACCAAATTTCCACCAACATAAACACAGAAACCACTAGTGGATCTCCTATCATCCAAATCTGCAGCCCAATCAGAGTCACAGAAACCAACTATGTCTAAATTGGCAGTCTTTGAGAGTTGAAGGCCAAAAGATGAACATGCTGCAATGTACTCCAAAATCTTCTTGATGGCTTTCCAATGTTGATCATTAGGATTTGACATATACTGACTAACCTTATTGACTGCAAAGGCAATCTCTGGGTGAGTGATGGTTAAATATTGTAGACCTCCCACCATACTTTTGTACATAGTTGCATTCACAGATTTTTCAGACTCATTCTTTCTTAAAGCAATACTTGTTGACATTGGAGTGTTGCATCCTTTGGCATTATACATTGAGGCTTTGGATAGGAGATCCTGAGCATATCTCTCTTGAGATAGAAACATTCCTTCTTCTGATCTGTAAATTTTCATCCCAAGAAAATGATGAATCTGACCAAGATCCTTCAAAGAAAAATTTGCACTGAGTTGAGACAAAAGTTCCTCAATCTCAGTGTCACTGCTTCCTGTTACCAAGATGTCATCAACATAGATCAAAATGATAAGAACAGTTTTGTTAGAGACTCTGTAAAACAAAGAATTATCTGCTTTAGAGCTATTGAATCCCAACTTGTTGAGAGTATCTTTAACTTTGAGGAACCAGGCTCTAGAAGCCTGTTTCACTGCAGTATCCATTAGGATTAGATTTATGACTGAAACCTGGAGGTTGTCTCATGAATATCTCCTCAGAAAGCTCTCCATTTAGAAAAGCATTATTAATATCCAACTGCCTCACAGACCAAGAAAAATGAACTGCAACAGTTAAGATAATCCTGATAGTAGAATGCTTCACAACAGGACTAAAAGTTTCTTTAAAATCAAAACCAGCTGCTTGAGAATATCCTTGAGCTACAAGTCTAGCTTTGTACCTGGAAATGGAACCATCAGAGTTTCTTTTCAATTTAAAAATCCACCTGCAGCCAACTATGTTTCTATTTTCAAGAGGCTTTGTAAGAGTCCAGGTGTTGTTATCAACAAGAGCATGTAGCTCTTCTATCATGGCCCTTTTCCAATGAGGTGATTGTAAGGCTTCACTGAGACATGTTGGTTCTCTTTCCTCAATGCTTACCATAAACACCATTGGCTTATAAATGCCTGCTTTTCCTCTAGTGATCATATGATGCTGATTAGAGATTCTTTGGAACCCTGAAGTCATGGATGTATGATCTGGAGAGTTATCTAACTCAATAGGTAAATCAACAACTAAGGGAATGGTGGTGTGACTAGACTAGCTGTTTGTGGTTCTGGGACTTTGGATGGTTGTGTTAGGAGAGTGACTGGGTGTAGAAGTTTGTTTTTCTTGGGTGAATGATTGTGTCTTAGTATGAGGAGTGGTTTCCTTTTGGATGATAGGGGGTAAATTTATGCAGTGAGGCTGAATATCATTAAGGTTATAAGGTTTGTTACCTGTCTCTTTGGCATAGGGAAATTCATTTTCATTAAAAAGAACATGCCTGGATATTATGAGCTTTCCTGAGGGTAAAAGGATTTTGTATCCTTTATGGTAGTTACTGAATCCAATGAAGGTTCCTCCAATAGATCTTGGTTCAAGTTTATGCTTATTGAAGGGTCTCAACAAAGGATAAGCTAAGCAGCCAAAGGTTTTGAATCTAGTGTAATCAGGTTGATGATGGTATAGCAACTCCAAGGGACTCTTAAATTTCAAG